TAGGTGTGTAATAACGGGGAGGATAATATGGGGGTTTCAAAACAATTTCAATATAGGACTCTTCAACTTGACAGAAATAGAAATAGAAAAATATTCTGTTCTGCATTTTTGCCATTGTTTTTTACTACAACAGCCAATCACCTTTTACAATAGTAATTCTATTTGGCCAAATCTCTTTTCCCAGTGGTACCATTACTATCTATTTCCTTTAGACTATTTCTGTCTTCATTCTTGCCTACTAATCTTGCTTAAAATATTCTGTTTTCCACATGGCTCCTCTTTCCCCAGTATATCAATGAAGATGAAATCTGTCCTTTCTCCCGCTCTCACAACAGACTCTCAGTACTAACTGATTGCTACCATCTCCTACTTTTCCTGCAGCTGATGATACCAAAATCTTCCTTTCTCATTTCTATCCTTCCTCTCCTCTGCAAAAATCTAAATTTCAGTAATTTTATGCACTAATAACTACTGCATTGAACTTAAAATATTTCAGGATGTCCCTCTGGGCAAAACCAAAGCAGAAGAATTCTTCAAGGAAAGCTCTTGTAATCATCCTTGTTCATTTCTTTGGGAGCAATGGAATTCATTTTTCCCCCGAATGAGCATGAGCTGCTTGTCTAAACAGTGGGAATCCCCTGAGAAGGAGGGAACAGAATATGTAGGCATTTGATCTCAGTGTCTCACAGAATAAAAGCAGCACATGGTAAGAATTAGCTAACTGCTGAATCTCAGAAATTTACTATGCATTCAGAATTATCATCCTTTGGGGATATTTTTAATCTCCCATAGGCATCTTTTCTTGGGTAATTAAACACTAAAATATCTTCAAGCTCTAAGTTTTTAAATCTAGTTCTCTAGAAAATATGCTTTATTTCAAGCAACATAAGGAGTTGGTGCAGAAGTTCTCTGCCCTGTGTTATCATGAGTATGAGTGCTTGAACACAAATCTCAAAGACTTTAGTCTCTTCACTTAATTCCTGCTCACTTCTTTGGAACACAGGAGGCATCCTTAGGCATGTGGTTCATGCCTAAGGATGAAAAAGGATTCCTGCCTTGCTTATTGAAGATCAAAATATCTTACAGAATTTCTACATAAAACAAACAATCTTCACAATGACATAGGAATCCCACAAAAGTGCTTTGGAAGATATAAGTCCATGTGACAAACAAAAAGGAATGTGTGTGCTAATGGCAGCAGGGATTTTAACAGCAACAGCTCAGCCTACCTAAACATACGCACAGAGGGGAGAGACGCTCTTCAGCTGAAGGAAGTACAGAAAACGAGTCAGAGGAAGGGTCAGAAGGCACAGTGCAGCTGTAACAAAAGCTGTCCCCCAGCCCTTCTACTCCAACAGCCTGCTCTGTGCCAGCAAGGGCACAGTCCCACCAGAAGGGCCATGTGCCCTGGTGACCTCTCCTTTCTTCTTGTCTGACAGCCACAAGTTGCTTTTTAAATGCTGGAGAGCTGAAGAAGGGCTTGGTGGACTCTGACCTTTTCAGGCTCCGGTTAAACACAGGACTGTCGACTGAACAAAGCAGAGATCTAAGCATTGATCATAAACCCGGTGTTAATATATCAGTGTTACTGCACCTAAGTGCCGCCCATTGCTCCCATGAGCAACAGGCAGACAACCTTGCACAGCCAACCTTTGCCCGCAGGATACAAACTATGGCAATCTCCTGGCTGAACATTTGTGACTCGCTTTACTCCTTGTGTGGGGCAGGAGAACACGGCTCCAGTGTAAACACAGCATTCCATATCCTGGGCACGCTGTACATGGCTGACAGGCTGCCAGACTTGCTCCCTGCCTGCCTCAGAGAAGTGCTGCTCGCTCCTCATGAGGAGTCAAAAGGAGGCTGTTATCAAAAGCAATGACCACAAACACTTAGCACCATCACTTCCTGCACTAAGTGACCCTTCTAATAATACTTTCTCTATGAATCTTGTGTCCAAGCCCTAACACCTCCTCCATCCTCCACACTGGAAGCCAGAGCCCAGTGCTGACCAGCTGCCAGCGAGGTCTCAGTGCTCACTGTGCCCCTTGGTGACTGCACAGCAGCTGCAGCTGGAATAAAACAGCAGAGCTGCTGCTCCTCCAAGGTCAGGCCAGGAAAACTGGGTGCTCCCACATCCAGCTCAGCCCAGGTGGCTGCGGTCCGATGCATTCCCAGGAGACCTGCTTTCTTTTCCTGGCTAAATTGCTATCCTTGGCAAAATGACTTTGACTTTCTGTTTTCTCTCCCACCCTTTACCTATGTTTTGTGATTAGAGCATGATTTTTTTACCGCAGGTTTATAATGTGGTCTTCTTTAGTTTGGAAAGAAAAAAATACCTTAAGTAGGGCAGGAGCATTTTGAAAAGTCAGGGAATGAAAAGAAGAGGAGTGGAAAGGGAAAAATCTCAGTAACAAAGTTTGTTGGGAAAGTGGAGCAGTACAGATAAATTATCACTCCCTGGGGCAGAGGTGAGCAAGATATCCAATACAGTATGAAGAAGTAAAGGTGGAAGTGTTAGTGGCTGGTGAGATTATGAAGCTGCCTAATGGGTGCCCTTGATGGGAGGCATTTGCTTTAAGGTATTAATGTGTACTTAACCATGGCACTCCTGTGCTTGTTATCACTGAGGCCCCAGTTGAAAAATATCTCCCTCTAAACCCTTTGGAAGCTGCAGAAGTGGAGTAGATGCCGGAGAACAAGGTGACAGCTCCCTGGCTGTGTGGGCTTTAGTAAGACAGAGTTCAGTGGCTTGGCAGCAACATGTGGCAAACTGGAAACTGCAGCCAAGGAAATACCCTGCTGCAGCTTCTCCTCCCAACCAGTTCCTGCTTCTCTGGAGGCAGTGACTCCCGAGGCACCCAAGTGACCCCTCACCCCAGAGGTTCCCAGCCAGGTCCTGGGAAGGATTGCAGTAGAGCTGCCTGGCATAGAGATACTCAGCTCCAGCCCTGGAGTTGCAGCTGGGCACCCCTGATTTACAGAGCTGGCTTTTTTACTAAAGCAGCACTGGACACACCAAAACCTGGTTTGGGATTCATGTTTGTGTAAAAGTTATAATAAAATCTGTATCTGCAAGATAAGCTAACAGTGAACCAAACACTTCCCAGCTTCCCACTCTATCCATGAAAACCCATCTTTTCTTGAGCCCTCCTGTGCAAAACTGTTCACTCACTCTCCCAGATGTCATGTACACTGCAGTACAGAGATGCTACATTAAACATTTTGACATCACCTACAATTGTGTCTCCTGGCTCAGACTCCTCCAGCACTTTTTTTTTTTCTTCTGACATCTTTAGTACTTCAGAAGTGTTGGAAAAAAACAAATGATTTTCATACCCATCTGTGCTCTCCAAAGGAGTCCAGAAAGCAGCCAAATAATTCAGTGATTTTTTTTTTTCACTTTTTTTTTTTGTGAGACTTTTTCCTGTCAATTTCCTATTGCTCAGCACAGCCAGCCACTGGCTATTTGACACAATAAGATCTGAGCTGAGCATTTGGTAGCACTTGAGCCAGTCTGTTGAGCAGTTTTATTTACTCCTCAGAGCCCCAGTGGTCTTGGTAATACATTTTTACCACCGCTTCTTTGTGGTACGCTATAGTGGTCAGCTGCTCACTGTTTGCATATTCTAGTAAAATCACAGAATCACAGAATATTCTGAGTTAGAGGGAACCCACAAGGATCATCAACTCCATCTTTTAAGTAAATGGCCCATACAAGGATCAAAATCCACAACCTTGTTGTAACTAGCACTACATGTGCTTTTTTCCCCTGCAATAAAGCAGAGAAGAATACCTTGGATAAAAGTATTTTTTATCTTCCAATAATTAAATTTGTCACATTTTTGGCAGATCACTATCCCTCCAGCGTTTGCTTTTACTTTGCATGGCATTAATTTCTACCATTTCTAAAACTTTGGCTTTTTGGTGGCTTTCTTCTTTCCTGGTAGTATTAATATTATATATTGATATAGTCCCTGCTGTCCTTATCTCTGAATGCAAAAGTTATTTATCTACCATTTCATTTGTCCAGTGTTTTCTTTTGATGGAACTGCTAGGAGCAGCAGTCTGCCATTTCAATCTCTTTTTCCAACACCCCAAAACAGTTTTGCAATTACAGCTGTACCAGCATTAAAAGCTTCTGCTAAAACAGGTGTTATGAGCCTGCACCCTAAACCACCGCACTGCCCAAGTGGAACACAGGGTTCAATCACAGGCCACACTTAGTAAAGCAGAAACATAATTCCTTTGTTATTTCCGAATGCAGCTAGAAAGCAAGCAGTGGAAAAGTGATTTAAACTATGAACAAGCTGCAGCATTGCTGGTTAAGCTAAGCATATAGAAACAAGAACTGACGCAAGCTCCAGCAGCCACACATAAAGGCACAGTGCTTCGAGCTCTAAGCTGTGAGTTCATAGCTTGAGTTTCCCAACACCTTACCTTCAAAACGGTGTTGAATGGCACGGTTTAAATTTTTTTTAATCGGTAATTTCTCAAGTACCTACTTTAAGGGGCACTTCAAAATACCAAGGGCGTGCTCCGAACACCAGCAGGCTCCGGCTATGGGACTTGGAGAAAACCACTTTTTAGCTCGGAGCATGTGTTAGCATCAGACAAGCCCACTTATCGCTTAGTGACTTCCACATCCATCATTCACTTAGTGACTGCTTTTGGAAACAGCTGCCAGCGAGAGGGACGGCGATCGCCCTTCGCCCAGATCACCCGCTGTATCTGGAGCCAGGCAGGGAGGGGAGCAGGAGACCTCAGGAGAAGGGCTGGGGTAGATCAGCCTTTCGACACCGGCGGGGGCAGCCCCAGCCCCGTCCGCAGGCACCGGCCCAGCCCAGCGGCTGCAGCGCTGGGGCCGGGCCGCTGGCAGACCCCGCCAAATAAGGCGCTGGCGGGCGGCACGGATGGGAGCGGGAAGGAAGCGGGCACCGAGC